CATTGATTGCCAATGCAATGTTTTTCAAAGGTTCAAATGAGGATAATTACGAACTACCAACTGACTTTGAAGTCGGTTCTTTAAGGATTTCTTTACATCAGGTAATATTTCACACTTGGACACCCTTTTAGTTTTAAAGGAACTTCTTATGCCCTGTGCCGCTAGTACTTAGTTTCTTTTTTCTTTTTTTTGCTATGTCCTGCTACGTCACCTTGCTTTGTACCTTTTATAATATTAAACAATTTCGAAGTATCTTAATGTAAGAAACATAAGCTCCCATAAGACATTTGCGGCTTATAATGAGGAACGTGGATTGAGGATCGATGACAAGTTATATAAAGGGATACTCTCAAAATAATTTAACATTTTATAATAAACACGGTTTATAAGAAACGGATAATACCAGCATTGTCAACTAATTTGTGTTTGTATTGCGTGATATTGTCTTAGTCCTGAATAATATTATTCCCGTCGCTCTTCTTTAGGTGAGACGTCCCATCAATAGCCGTACTCGCATTTGTTTAATGAGTACATCGTTTCAAATAAAAACATGGAATTAAAACCCGAATCCCGTCTTTCACTGACGACACACTAATACCTTTTTCAAATAATGTTCTGAACGATAGTGTTCAGTGCCTTTTGGGATGTTGTATTTAAAGAATAAGCTGTTTGGGGTGTCTCTTAACGCAACTCGAAGAGTTTGTATCTATGTGTACATTTGAAATACATTACGGCCACTTCAGTGAGAATCGTGCAAGCAAAATAAGTATTTACATCATAAATCAGTTACCCTAAATCTGCTCCGAATTCTTAATATATTTTGACATCGTGTAAAAAATAGCTTTCAAACCCTGAGTTATTAGCAATAAAATTCACCATTGTCCATTTTACTGCTGCATTATGGTGATGTATTTTTAATATTCCATATATAATTTATATCCTCCATAAGGCTTTTAGTAGACAGTCTTATTCGACTGAAGAAGGTTATTAGTTTCAGCAACGTGATACCAAATATATGAAAAATGGTACTAACAGCTCCTGGCTTGGCGCTCATAATTTAAACAGCAGTGAATTATGTTTAATCTATCGAAGGCAAGCAATACCACATCTCTGTTTCATGTGGGAAATTAGGTCGTGCACTGTTAAGAGAACCTGTTCAGGTCCTACAATAGACGGACTATCAGTATATGAGTAATAAGTGTTGAAATAACTGGAAAAAAGTGATCCCTCGGAAGCATTAAAAACAGCAAAAGAAATGGAAATGCAAACTCGGTTTGATTGGGTTGTACATGATAGATAATAAAAAGTGCAACAACCCTCAAGCCCCCTAATACCGGCTTAAGCGGGACTCAACTTTCAACACTTAAAAAGTCTGGACTCAATTATCCTAAAGGACCAGAAAAATATAGCAACACTATATAAACACTATATAAATATCGCGTTAAACACCGATCCATTTCAATTTCACATTTCAATATTTTCATATTATTGCCAGCGCTTTAGATCGTACAACGTCTTTAAAGACGTCTTTTGAGTTAAGGATTAAGTGCAAAAAAAAAACAACAAACAAAAAAAAAACAACAGTTAAATGCAGTCCTATGGAAAGACCGGGCATCTAAACCAAGGGCAAGCTTAAGCGGCTCACATGCAGCAGGCATTGCCAGGTCAAGCTCCGATTAATCACAACAGATGTATAAATGAGGGTCAACATGGACGGCTGACCAGCAGCTTCGCTCCCGCCTAGTCCCGAGACAACTCGAACGAGGACCAGTCCCACATGAACTGCACAACCGTGGCCGTAGTCAAGACGTCAAGATATCCGTGCTCAAGCTGCCAAACGTTTTGACATAATCAAAGGACGAATCTATTGATGCACGTCAGCGTACAAGACAAAAACACCCGTCAACGCAAACAACCATTGGCTTAGCTAATTAGAAATGTTCCCAATTTATTTAGAGAACTTGGTGTCAGTTCGTCTTGCAATTACTATTGTGTGTTTGTTTGTTTCATTTTACGCCTTTTTCCAACAGTATTTCAGTCATATAGGCGGGTAGTTTCCTAACCATTGTTCCTGGAGAGTTACACCAGTACTTGATTACCTTCCTCCGCGCTAAACTACCAAAGCATCTCCCGGGAATCGAACCCACGCCAGAGAGGTAACTGGATTAGAAGTCATCGACTCTAACCCCTCGAGGCAATTACTAAAATGAAAATTAAGATGTAAAGAAAGAAACACATTAAGATATCCTGGCCTTATTTCAAGTGTTCATAATATGTGTTGAGATGACCCCTCAATATTAACGTAACTGTTCCTCGATAATCGTTCCCTACATTGTGTTGCAAATGTCTATAAAGACACTTGAAAAACACACTTGACTTATTGGGAATTAGGCAATTTGATACATTCATTTTTATCAACAAGGGTGTTGGTTTGTTTTGTTTGATTCTAAGTTACTATACAGTATTATTCCGGCTATACTGGTGGAGGAGAACATCAGGTGCCCCTTGGTGCATTATTTAGAGTAAAACCACTGACAGTCCGTAAGCTTTCCGGATGGCTTCCTCACACGAGTTTAAAGTCTTTGACGGAATTCGAACCCACAGCGGTGAAGGACAAATGACTTGAGGTCGGCTTAATAACCCGGTCACAGAGACTCCAAATATGACATGTTTGTGTTCAGTTACAAACTATTAACAAAGGTTATAAATACAACTCATTTTATAACCAAGTATTACGTATTATTGACTTTGAAAACCTAAACAAGAAATGCCCTTTCGAAATATATAGAGGATATTTGTTTGTTTGTGTGTAAGATGAAATTTTATTTCATCGAGTGGGCTTTAAAAACAGTATTCTCACGAGTGGCGAAGCCACGAGTGAGAATACTGTTTTTAAAGTTCACGAGATGAAATAAAATTACATCTTACACAACAAACAGACAAATTTTCTTTTTATTTTATGCTTAAAAACAAGTTAAAACGAAATTTCCATAATTTTAACGTTAATATTAAAACTGTTTCCCCCATTGAGAGCCCCATTTATTCGGAATTTCTCATTAAAAAAAAGAAGTCTTGAGCTGAAAAATAAGTCCGCCAATCAACATTAAATGATGGTGATATTTATTAATTTTATTAAAAAAATATGAATGATCGCATGTTTTGATAATAAAAACAAACAATTCTTGTAGGAGAAAAAGTCCAACCATCCATCCATATTTCTGTTACTTAGTGCGAATTTATATTAGACCTGGCTTTGTAAATTGTAAGCGGCAGCCATTTTTTAAAGTTGTGTATTTCATGGATGGAAAATAATTGTGTAAGATTCAGAGGGATATAATTTGGATTTGTTAGTCATACACATTTTTAAAAGAAAGAAAACTTATTTGAGGATTGTAACAGACAAAAAATAAGTGTTGACAGATGTGAAAACATTCAGAAAAGGAGCTAGGAAAATGGAAAACTTGGAAACCTGCTCAAGAACGCTGGGTTGATTTAACTTATTCTTCGAGTTATGGCTGTCAATGCTTTCAATTTTTCATAAAGCATACGGCAGTTATTGCTCGTAGGATACTTTAATATGCCCAAATGTCATCAAGAGCAGTTTTGCATGGGAAGGAATGTATTTTTGAGACTGTCAAAATGAAACAAAAAAACGAAATTTGGTGATTGGAATTTCATGAATTTGAATGAATAGAAGTAAGTTTTCTTCTTTTTATTACTTTTGACATTTAAGTTATTTATCAATTTCAGTTTTGCTTTTTCTTTAAACAGCCTGACATTGTCAGAATTGTCAGCAAAAATAAAATTGAGGTACCACATGGGGAAAATCTTAAAAAAGTAGTTTCGTCATTGAAAAGAGTGAAATTATATTTTGATAATTTTCACTGTGAAATTACCAAATATAATTTTCACGGATAAATCAGTAATTCACTGAAAAGCATAAAATAAATGTGTATATGTGTGGATATGATAAAAATCAAATAGGTAAGTAAATCAGATTGGCGGCTGTAAGAACAACATCATATTGTGTGTGTTTTTTTAGAAAAGTTTGGATATACATTGTTTTATACTAACGTCTTATTTTAATTAACCTTTTACCCCATGAGCATATTGCGAAAAATGGCCGTTTTCATTGAAAAGCCTCCTGTAACAAGTTCAAACTGCTATGAAACTATGAAAAATTCTTCAATACTAATGAAACTTGGCACAGATGTTGACTAGACCATAGCCTCTGTAACAGCATGCTCTATCGTAAATTTCCTGTTACCATGGCAACGGGGGGGGGGGCGTCTCAAAATTACCAAAAATCACTATTTCGCATTGTTTTTTTCCCATCAAAACTGATTTCAAAGTGCTGCAACTTCTCAATGAATTGATATAGAGTAAAAGGCTTCAGCGTCGGTTACTAGTTACCCTAAGATTGACCTGAGGCCATTTTTAGCCTGTCACATGTCCAAATTTTTCTTGGCTTCAAACCCCCCCTTCTGGCAACCCCCTTATGTAGCATTTTGATGGGGGACGGCGCTGAAAAAGTGGTCACTTTTTAAACAAGATTATTCAAACGAAAAACAGTGTTTGGGGCCTAAATAGGGTATTTTTTCACTGTTTGATGCCTCAAAAAAAGGGGGGGGGGCAAAAAGCCGACAAAACACGCTTATATAAGGGAAAAGGTTAAAACGATGAGTTGACATGAATTATATCTTTCGATCACAACGCTGTGTTTATAGAAACAACTTACAACATCCCAAATGACCTAAAACAATATCTGTTGTTTTCATTTCAGGTTTACCAATCACTAATTTCTGTCCTTGTGGTCACGCCAGCAACATTGCTCGTAATTTATTTGTTCAAGTTATCAAGATATTATCCTGCAAATAAAAACAAGCCATTATTTGATAAACGAAGAAAAACGTCACGTGATTTTAGAATACCATTCTTTGACACGTGGTTGGACAAGGAGAAAAAGCGGAATATAGAACTGGAAAGGAAAATCATCCAGAAAGGATATCCAGAAATGAAGGTAGAAATTTGCAATAACTATTATAGAGATAAAGGTAAACTAGAAATGAAACAATGTAACTTTTTGCAGGTATCTAATATTCTACTGAAGTATTTTACTCTTTTATGGACAAACAAATTAATTATGTCATTAATGAAAAAAACCCAAGACATTTTAGATTATCAAATTTAAAAATGTTATAATTTACTGTAATGATGCATCTTTAAAAGAAAGGAAAGCCGCCCTTCTTTACAATGTATATTCAATTATATAGTATACATGTAGATAAAAGTGTGAATTGTTTCTATAATTCTATTACAGGGGTTCACCTTGCCAAATCAGTGCATATACCTGGCATGGTTTCTTCTTGTCTCAGCGACTCTTGTCTCGGCATTTTATGTAGTCTTGTACAGTATGGAATGGGGTAAACAAAAGTCAGAGGAATGGGTTACCATGCTGTTATTGTCAATCTTTCAATCCATCTTCTGCGTTGACCCAGTTAAAGTAATTACTTTTATTATGTCTTTTCTTCAAAAATATTATGACCAACAAAAAAAATAATGAAAAGAAAAAAAATAAATATGAAGAACCCAAAAAACCCAAAACAAAACAAACAAATTAACAAATTAAAAGGAATAATTAAATATATGTGAAGATAATAAGTAAGATAATTTAAGTAATTGCATTGAACAACGTATTCTGTTTGCTTAAATTTTCTTTAGAGTATGACTTTTATCAGAATGTGAAAACAAGGTGAATGCAAAGTGGGGTGTTTTTTTTAAAACTTTTTTACAATGAAGTTTTCAGACAGGTGCCGGTGGTCACTTTACTTGTTTACACGGGTGCTTATATAGATGTTGCGTCGTTCTCTTTTTTTTATTAAAATTCATCGTTGTTTTATAGCTGTGTTTTGTCTCGGACATATTAACTTTTAAATATTTAGGCCTAAATCGATTTTTATCGAATCATTAATAGCATATTCTTTTAGATTTTGTTGATGGCAGTTGTTTTTGCGATGCTGTTCAGAAAGATGTCAAGTCCCAGTACACTAATAACTAGGAGCCATGTCATAAAGTACTTCTCTACGTCTTCTAGAAAGAAATGTGGTATGAAGGCTTTGCTAAGCTTTAATGTAGCTGAAATATTGAAACAAAAGTTGGGAAAAATTAAAGTGATAGTAAAGGACAAATAAACTTTACTTATTGTACAATTATTTAAGGGTTAGCATTTCATAGATATTTTTGTATGTTAAATCTGTCAAAAACTTTGAATAAAATAACAATAAAAGGTATCTTTATTTCATTTAAAGTAATTAAACTTGAAATCACGTACGTTTTTATTGACATTTATTTGTAGACGCAACCCGTATGACCGCATCAAATTTTAATAGGACACAATTAAAGGAAACACAAGTAAAGAACTCAGAAGATAAGAAATCTCTTAACAACCTTTATGACTGCATCTCTACAACAGTTTTAATCTGGATATTATTAAGCATCAGCTATTCAAGCAGGGACTCACGATCATACGAACTGTACCAATACATAGAGAATACATTTGTCAAACCATCAGGCATGGTGTCGTTTTCTAAGGTATTAATTTTCTTACTGAATATGACTATTTTTCTTTTTTTGTTGTTGTTGCCTTTTGCGTCACACAGTTGGAGTCATTTAGCAATATTCAGCATTATTTTTGCGCCAAACGAAGAAATTTCTATGTAGAGTCGATCCCGACATAATTTCTTTTTCAAGAAACTATTGAATGGGTTAAATATTGATAACGTTTTGAAAGATACTATTTTGGTTGAGCTGCGGTGGGTTTTTTTATTAGATGTGTAAATTATCAATTTGTTTTGCCATAAATAATAGGTATTCCTTATCTCTTTCATATCTTAATACAGATACAAACGTCTACAGACTTTTACACATGGTTAAATAAAACAGCAATTATGAAATCATTCCCGGAAACAAACATAGATAGTGGCAATACACCGTTGCATTGGAGGGAACGTCAACACATTGAAGGGGGGCATCTGTTTAGAGTCGGACCACCACGACTTAGACAACTCAGAATAAGAAAAGGTACTGTCCTATTTTCTGATGCATTATTCGTCGAAATTGCTTACTTTTCCATTGTTTATTTGATTATTTAACCCATTACCAGATATATACGCCTTTCTACGCCTTTCATCCCCCCATTTTTTGCTTTCTCAAATGGTGAAAAAATGCCTTATTTAGGCCCTAAACACTTGTTTTTTGTTTGAAAAATGGTGTTTAAAAAAGTGAGCACTTTTTGGCGCCGTCCCCCATCCAAAAGATACATTGGGGGGGTGGGGGGTTGAAGGGGGTGGTAGTCCCCCTCATCGCCAAGAAAAGTTTGGACTTGTGAGAGGTATCTTAATCCATCATTGAGAAGTTGCAGCACTTTGAAATCAATTTTGATGGAAAAATCAACGCAAAATAGTGATTTTTGGCAATTTTGAGATGTCGCCTAGTTGCCATTTCGGTAACAGAAAATTTAAGACTGAGCATGTTGTTACAAAGGCAATTTTACAGTCAACATTTGTGCCAAGTTTGATTAGTATTGAAGCAGTTTTTATAGTTTTATAGCAACTTTAACTTGTAACGGGAGACTTTCAAAAG